GGTTAAGAAGCTTGGGATGGAGGGGTGATGGAGGTCAGAGAAAAACTAGGAGGAGGAGGTTGATCATATAATATCTAGGTATCTAGATATGATATTTGTTGTGTTGCATTGAGCTAGAGCCTTATTTAGCTATGAGGTTGCCTTAATTCAACAAAAATACAAGTTGGGGGTGGGGGTGGGGGCATTGGCCCCCTCTCTCTAACAATTGTTAATTTGCTTCTCAAATATCTCGACCTTGAGTTTACCGAAAAGGCTTTCGACCCGCTTTATATATAAAGCAAACCACCAGAGCACAAAATCCGACACAAGTTCACCACGCACACACACACAGAGAGAAGTAGCACAAGCCAACACAAATGGGTTTTGCTAAAGAGATAGCTCAAGTAGTAATGAGAAACACGCACAAAAACCTAACAGCGGGTGGCAAGGCTAGACCTTGAGTTTACGGGTATATATGGCTTGCTGTCTATATTGATTTACTTGCACTAAGGCTGCAATCAAATGGATGGGCTCGTCACTCGAGAGTCGAGACACTTGGCTGGAAATTCCTTTATCATGGAGTTGAACTCTATTCAGATTACAATCACTAGGATTGGGGAATCATGCCGTCTTGGTCCAGGGTTTCCTTGGTGATTCAAATCACAAAAGAATAACTCCTCCTTTCTATGTCTGATGCTAGCATAGACCTCTCCACTCTCCAGCAATAACATCAGTGGCACATTACCAGCTACTGTTTCACGGATGGACACACTTATATTAAATCTAATCTAAAATCAATTGAATGGTTCAGTGCGACCTCGTAATAAAATTGGTTTGGATCTCTCAAGAAACTATCTACTAGGGCCTCTACCATTAAAGTTTCAATTTCACACGACCAATAATTGGTTTGTTTCTGTTCGGCAACCAATTCACACGCACTAGTTTGGTTCCTAACATCATTATAGAATTACCTTTCATATCTTGACACTTGGAAACAATATGGTAACATGCCAGTTCTCTCGATGTTTAGAAAATTCACATCCGTTGCCATGAGAGAGCACATTGTTTCTCGACATCCTTGAAATGGCCCCAATTTTTTTGTGGCCTTGCAGACCAATTCAAGGCACCATGCCTTGGGTTTTCAACAAGTTTTGCATTTTCTGGAGTTTTCATGGTGAAAAAAGGTTGATAAATGGATGGACATGTCGCAACATGCAAACGGTGTCGGAATTCGTTCAAACCTAGCATGGATGCCTAACATGGGCATGCCCACCTGATTACATAAGATTGGGGCACTTATCCATGGTCTAAAAAACCACAAGTTGAGAGAAGTGTGCTAGCCTAGTCTAGGACAGGTGCATCAGTGAGTATGTAGTTTTCCTAATTTGAATGCTTATGTTATTTGCAAATTTCCATATTATTAATCACATGAACATTTTCTTTTTGTCGTAACCATTTCTTAAAATTTAAAAGCAATTTTGAATTTTAATTTTTGGATGAATTTTTTTACAAACTTGAACACTTTTTCCAAAATTGTTAAAAACATACCCAACAATAGATGAAAACTTAGAACACAAATTGCAAACCATATAGTTTTTCAAAAATTTATCAACTTATTTTTGAAATGCAAACATTTTTTAAATTTGTGAACAAAAAATTCGAAAACGGGAACATTTTGTGAAATTCTGGAATATTTTTAAAATTGTAAGCAATATTTGAAAACAAGAACATTTTTGGGTATTCCAAACAATATTTCAATATTTTGAACTGGTTTCAAAAAGAATAATATTTTTTTTAAAAGTAGAAAATGAATTAACAAAAAAGATAGAAAATAAATAGTATGCCCAACTAGGCGAAGACATCGCTCCAGTCGGGTACCTGTTGGAAAAAGTTTATCGATTTTGAAAAAAAATGTTCACGAACACGAAATTTTTCGCTGATTTTCACAAAAAGTTCTCAACCCCAAAAAATAGTTTGTGAATTTGAAAAAACAATTATATTTTTTTAAAAGAGTTCATGAATTTAAAAAAAATCATGGGTTTTGATTAAAAGTTAGTAAAAGATGAAAAGAGTTTGTGCATTTGAAATACATTCATGAATATGAAAAAAAGTTCACAAATTTAAGAAAATGTTCGTGACTTTGAAAGGTTCATGAATTTAAGGAAAGTTCATGATTTTAAAATAAAATTCGCGAATTTCAGAAAAAGAAAAAAAGAAAGAGAAATTAAAACAGAAGAAAAGAAAACCAAATAAGAAAGCAGATGTGTGTTTTTTAAGCATTGAAAAGGGAAAAGAAATAAAAAAGACACGTGAGGTAAGATGTCCCACTTGATTACTACAGTTGCACTTATCGAAGGACTTCAATGTGTTCCCGGTACTGTCGAAACAGATTCTTTGGAACTCATCGGAGCGTTTAATGGAACAATTCAAATATGGTCTCCATATGCAGCAGTACTTGCGGATTGCTTTCAGATCGCCTCCAGGATTGGATCAATATCGGTGCATCATTGTAATCGGGAGGTGAACTATGTGGCGTACAACTTAGCTAAACATGCTTTACTATTTTTCAGGATGATGTTCCCCCTAGATTTATTGTTTCAAATGTAATGAACGATGTATCGCTGTTTATTTCGCAATAAAGTGCGCCATGAAGGCTTTCCCTCAAAAAAAAACCCAGGAGGTCAGAAGTTCGAATCACATCTCCGCACATTGTTTTGAGGTTTACCAGAAAAGAAAAGAAAAGTAAATGGGCCAGGCCCAGAGCCTCCATTCTACTCACTCTTTCATTGAGCGATTTATTTCGGATTTAGAGATTGTAAAGGATCGACGATCTTGGAACATGAGCAGAAGTTATCAGTCCGCACCAGCAAGGGTAGCAAGACCAAGGGCGACGCCGGCGGGATTTGCAAAAATACACGTCGATGCGGGAGTTTCAAACACACATATGCGCACATTACTACGCTGGAATCCATCGCATGCCGTGAAGGCCTGGCACCGGCGGAAGGCTTAGGTCTTCATAACTTCATAATTGTTCTGATGCTGAGCAGGCTGTTCGTGACATTGATAATGGCAGTCATGGCAGGCACGACTCAATCATCACCGAGATCAAAACCAGGGCGTCAAACTTTACACGCAACTTTGTGTTTCAAGGAAGAGCTACTAACGTCGGTTTTAGCCCGGTTTTCCGTCAATTAACGGGGCAATTCTCTTCTTCTTAATCAATGAAATGGCAAGTCTTTTGCCTCGTTTCAAAAAAAAAAAAAAAGCTACTAACGGTGAAGCACATAGTCTAGCTCGATCTTCATTATCTTTAGATCAGGGACGTCATGTGTGATGTGTGGCTGATCCGACCCCATGATCGTATTTATATCCCGCGGACTGTGGTTTATTATGAATAAAATTGGTTTTTACCCCCTAAAAAACATACAAAGGGGTACGGAAAGATCTGGTCCGTTGATGTTTTTTTAGGGGTTTGTATCGAACATAAACTTCAAATTTGTGGTCGACGTCCAACCCTGGATAGTCAAAAGTGCATTCAGATTCCAAACGGGATGAGGAAAAACTATATGCCCCTATCACGATCGGCCGGAATCTTCTTCGATCCAGAGACGAGAAAGTCTTCCCTTTCTCTTACTCCGAGGCAGCTGTGCCCACGAACTAAACTAAACTTGAGTGCTGCCTTGCTGGCCTGATGCCAAGTGTTGAGCGACCAGCCACAGGAGCAAATAAAGGGTGCCAATTAAGGGACAGTCAGTGATTGTTTAGGCACGAATCATTGCAAGTTTGGTTGCCGCAACTGTTTGCCAAAACCTGAGCAAACAAATTATACTCTGGTATGATTTTCCTTTGTGGCTGCATGCACCGTTCAGATGCAAAGGCTGGGGCTCATCCTCTTTTTCAAAAAAAGTATTGATTTTCCTTTTTGGCAAAAGAAAATTCGCCATTTTCGATCGTGTAGGATTCATTCGGTTGGCTGGTTGAAATTCAGTTTCAGCGGGCATTGCGACTGATACGCGTAGCAAACTGAACAATTGCGATACAACAGTTAAAAAAAATCTCTGAGCCAGCAATGTGCAATGCAGTTCAGTAAGTAGCAATTGTTTCTGTAACATTGGCGAAAATGGCGCCTTTTGTTCCAAGGAAACAATGCTGGCACTTTTGTCAACTCTGCTAGGTATAGCAACGAGCTGATCTTCAAGGCCACAAAAATGGAGGATTTGCAAGAACAGGAGACAACAAAAAAAGACGCTCAACCGCAGCATGAGTGAGCAGAGCACAAATGGGGCAGAAAGAATGAATGTCGGGCTATTTTTATTCATAGAAACAAAGAAAGAAAGAAATGTCAGCATGTATATGTATCACATCAGCGCCACATGGCCCTCCACAGGACATGAAAATGACAACCTTCCTACCAGATTACATCAACATCCTTCTCAACTCAAATGGAAACTGGCCCGACGCCAAAAATGGTGCGACCACTCGTTCCTCCGCAGAATAACCAATCCTCCAATTTTTGTTTTCTATAATATGATTTATGTACACGTAATGAAGAAGCCGGCGCCCGGCAGACCTCTTCTTATCTCTTCCTCCTCCCTCTCTAACAATGGCATGCATCTAAAAATATGTCAGGAGCTTTATTTTTCTCGTCTTTCTACGGGGCGGGGCAGAATGTATAGAATGATGAACTGAGGTGGCAGAGAGCAGAGTTGCAAGAGATGAAAGAATTGCTCAAGGCTGGTGCAATGATGGGTACTAGTGATAGTAGGAAATGAGGGAGCCTAAATGATCCAAGAATAGGTCGAATGAAGGGTCAGGACTCGGGACTAGCAACAGGATGGGGGGTGATGGCAAACTCTTTGATGTACAAAATTTAATTTGGTTCATGCTTAATGGAGGCTGCTGAGGTGCTGTGGAGGGGCTGATTCTATAGAAAAAATGTGTTGGTAAAATGCCGGCAATCGACCGGGGGACTCTATGCATCGAAGGACTAGTTTGGGTGCCACACTGCCACTTGTATGACCTCAAGAATTGGAGACAGCATAGTGCCTCACTGAATAGCGTAAAACGTGTAAGCTTGGGCAGATCATCTCCTTCACCCGTGCGCCGTCCTTGTATATCTTGAATGTCGGGACTACGCGCACATTCTCTGCCTTTGCAATCATTGGGCTCTCATCAACATTTACCTGCAAGTTTGCATATGCAAGGGATCAGTTAGCAACTTGGAAGCTTTTTACAGATTGCTACAGTTGATATATATACACAGAGAAAGAGAGTTGTTAGGTTTATTACCTTCAGAAAATTCACCGAAGGGCACTCGGAACAAAGGGCATCCACTGATGGGGTAATCTGTGCGCACTGCTGATTCATTGTTGCCATGAAGTAAAGAACAGTCACCCCTGAAAGTGCCATTTAAATCAGTCAGGACATCTACTTAACCGACTACAGATAAGTATATGCAAGAAAATCTTGATAAGTTTCCAAGTATAGAACTGGCGCAAAGCATGAGGGTAACTGAACAATACTAGCAATCTAGCATAATTAAGGACATGAAAAAATAATTATAACAGCTGAGGAAAAACTTGTAAAGGAAAAACTCACCGGGCGAATGTATAGCAGCCCGGACTTGCTCTATGCTGGTAACTATCTCAACCTCTCCACCAAACTTCATATTTGATACCTCCTCACCACGGGTTGTCTTCAGCGCGACTTGGGCATGGAACAATGACTCTGCAACCTCCGTGTCGCCAGGAAGCTCCTTGCGAAGCACCTCATAGTCTCGCACACAATCAACCCAATGCTCAAGCTAAAACAATGCCAACAGAGAGGTGTCAATAGCATACTAGGTGAGTAACCAGGAACATGTCAACCTATGTAAGTTGCTTACCTTTGCGTAAGACGCTGCCCGCCTTAAGAGAGCTTTTGTGTAGCTAGGTTGGATCCTCAGCGCCTCATTGCAATCCTCAACGGCTTTCGCCCACCGACCTAACTTGGACCAGCAAGCTGCTCTATTGCAGTACAACACTGGATTTGAGGACTCATGCTTGAGCCCTTCACCATAGGCGATAGATGCCTCGGCAAACTTGCCCGCCTTAAAAAGATCATTACCCTGAGCTCGAGCCCGCGCAACTAGCCTCATGTTATTCAGGATCAATCCAACCTCTGCATTTGCAGGATCAATAGCTCTGGCCTTCTCAGCTATGGCAATAGCTGCATCAAACCTGCAGAAACCGACTTTCAATGCTTGTACCGGAAAATGAAAATGATTGTAGTCCATCGGTGTGTTTTAGAATTGTACCTCCCAAATGCCATGTTGACCTGGGATTGCACAACATGTACATATGAATCAGCTACTATGCCTGACAGTTTGGCGGACATTGAAGATAGGGATGCACTGTCCAATTTCAGCAAACTTGTAATAGTCGAATCGGCCTCCTCTAGTTTGTTAAGCCGGAGAAGCGCTTCGGACCTCATGGCAAGGAGCTGCATAAGAAACATGGGTTCATTGTTAGGAACTGAATTCTGACGCTGACCGCAAAATGACAGTGTATCTTTATAGGATGAAAAATGTCACAGGCTATAAGGCCAGAGAGGTTACCAGCTGAGAGGAGTCTGCTCCGTTGGCAATGGCGGCGTCTGCTTCCCTCAGCGCGCTCTTCCAGTCTCCGATCCTCCTCGCGTCCATGCATTTCCCCAGATGGCTCTCCACCTCATGAAGTTTCTGCCACTCAGCAGGGTCAGACTGGTTCGCGTTCCCGGCCAGCGTAAGCTGCCTCCTTGCCTTCTCAACCATCCCAAACCTGTAATGTGGCCATCAGAAATGCCATTTCAGTCACAATTCGAGCGCGCGATTACCGCACATTGACACTACCGGCGTTATCGTCGGATCGAAACGATAATTTAGGACCACATTCTGGTCTAAATGCACAATGCACAATGCAGATAAGCACTCCATTTGAACCGAATTCTGCGATGCAAAGCGCATTAAGAACACATTAATTGACTACAATGAACCGACAAATGATGCAATCTTTCTTTTCCATTCTTCGCAGCATGCAAATTAATTAGAGAATTCAAATGATGTATTCTTGTAGCTGGCTAGCTGCAAGATCAAAGTTTTTTGCTTCGAGGACAAGCAAAATAGCAGCTGCTGCCGATGTACTATCTGCAAGGAAGTGCTTAGCACACAAGCAACAGTGGCAAGCATGGTGAGAACACAAGATCTGTGTGGACCAATGGATTCGGGGATCCAACGAAATGCAGCCGGAGATATGCATGGAGAAGGGAAGGAGCGGGTCTCACCGGAGGCAGAGCGCGGCGAGGCGGCCGTGGGCGCGGCCGCTGGCCGGGTCGAGCCGGACGGCCTCCTCGCAGTCGCGGAGGGCCTCGGCGAGGCGGCCGAGCCCGGTGAGCGCGGAGGCGCGGTTGCCGCGGCACGCAGCGCTGTCCGGGCAGAGCGCCAGGGCGCGGTCGTAGTGCCGCAGCGCCTCGCCGTACCGGCCCTGCTTGTACAGCTCGTTCCCGGCCCGGGTAACCTCCTGCAGGCTGTCCGGCGGCGCCGGGAAGCTCGCTGGGGACCTCGAAGATCTGCCGGCGAGCGTCGCCGCGTCAATGCGGCCGCTCCTCGCGGGAGCCATGCCGCCCCGCATGATGCTGCCGTGGCCGTAGTGGCCGGTGCCGGATCCGAGCACGTCCGGGCGCGCGCGCGGCCGGGGCGCGGCCGGCGCCGGCGCGACGCGGCCGGACGAGCAGATGTTGCCGGTGGGGAGCGCATTGGTGAGCGGCGAGCTCGCGGTGCTCCCGCCGCCCCCTCCTCCACCGCCCCCCGAGCTGCCGCTCCCGCCGGAGAAAATCAGCGGCCCAGATCCGGAGCGTCGGTGCCCGGGCGGCCGCGGCGGGTTGCTGCTGGCGCTGCCGCTGCCGCTCTCCGCCGCCAGCTCGCCCGAGTGGCTCCCCCTCCCGCTCACGCTGCGAGCACCGCCGCCCCTCCCGCCCGCCGCGACCGCATTGCACAGAGCCGGCGACTTGGCCGACCCGGCGGAGGAGGAGGACGACGACGGCGTGGCCCGCAGCCGCAGCGGCGAGACCGGCGAGCCGAGATCCGCGAACACGTCCCGCTTGGAGTCCGGCTTGTCCCTGTCCACGCCCCCGCCCGCCTCAAGCGTCAGCCGGCGCACCCGGTCGGCCTCCGACGACGCCATGGCCACTCGCTCACCACCAGCGCCACCCCCTCAGTGACCAAGCAGGCATGCAAGAACACGCCCGACCGAGCTAGCTAGCAAGCAAGACA